CAAATTGAGGTAGATCTCGTTGTTGTGGTAGATCCGTCATTGTTTCGTAATAAGAAGCGTATAGGAAGAACTAGTTTAGCCTAGGCAAAACTAGTTTGTCCAGAAATCGGGTTTGGGCGGTAACATATATACATATATTGTATACTAGCGGCCCGCCCCGGCTTTGCACGGGTATTTCATAAAACTTTTAAAATTAATAATTATCACACACATATATAAAACCTTCCGAATATTTCGTCTTTGGTGAATAATTTTATGAATTTCTTCATCTTTTAATGAAATACCCTTGAAATTACGTCATGAAGATCAAAAGACCGCTGACCAGATAATAAATACTTCCACTTAATTTAAGGGACATTCGGGGTTACACGTAGAAATGACAAATAAGCCTGGTCTCCCATAGCTTCGGACATATATCATCGCATCTTGGGTTTTTAATGCAGATAACTTGGAGAACCTGTAAATGAATATGACGTTGCAGATTTGGCGTTGAACGATATTTGATGGGCCAAAGTCTTGATTTAAAGCGTCTCTAAGATGAATGTTCTACCGGCCCCAGTCTCTGGAGATTACGACATAATATCTAATTCAATGTATGTATTTAATATGGCAGTTTGTGGGGGAGGCCTATGTTCAGCAGTGGACTAAAATAGGCTGAAATGATGATGATGTATTTCAATCTTTCTGGTATCTTTTTTGTCATCATAATTACACTGTATTGAATAAAAACCAGCCAAGTGCGAGTCGGACTCCCACACGAAGGGTTCCGTACCATTCCATTTGGTAGTAGTTTCACTGTGGTAGGGTCCACGCGACAGTGTTCACTGTTGCACGAATGGGCAGGTCCGTCCGGGAAGTGTTATACTTCTGCGTTTCGTCTGGTGAGAGAGGAAGCCGGGGTTATTTAAAGATGGCAATGCATTTGCAACCCTACAAGTGTTGCAAATGCGTTGCCCTACAGGGCAGCGGTTATCACTTAGCATCAGGTGAACCGCCAGCTCGTTTGCCACTTTGTCACATAAGAAAATCAAATTTAAATATCTTTATTTAATATAGAAGTATTACACTTACTTATTGTCAAAAAACACTACTACTATCAGCCGTTTAGCTCAGTGGCTAGAGCGTCAGGCCGCGAATGCCGAAGACGTGGGTTCGATTCTCACAGCGGCGACAATCTTTTCGTACTTTTTCTACATGTTTTAATGTTCAATCTTAAGTGCAGAGATTAGCACTATAAAAAACTTTAAAATTTACTGCTATCAACATTATCTATAAAAATGGCAAAAAAATTCTGTTTTATGGGAGCCCCACTTATTTATATTTTTTTGTTTTTTTAGTATTTGTTGTTATAGCGGCAACAGAAATACATCTTTGTGACATTTTCAACTGTCTATGTTCTAACTATGTATGGTTCATGAGATACAGCCTGGTGAAATATTCGTGGCTACGATTTGGACGGAAGACTGTTGAGCAAAATGCATGAAAGCTGATCTGTTATTGTGAGCTAAAGCTCGATTATGAACTCTAGTCATTGACGTTTGTTATCTTTCTCTCTAATCTCGTGTACGTTGGGAACGCTCAGACCTCGATTCCCTAGTGTGAGTATGTATATTTATATTATTATACTCTTCAAGCCACTGCAAACACTCTACTTGACTCTCTCCGACTTGTAAGACGATTTTCAGTTTCCGGTAAAGATTCCTCATTGTGACGTATTTTTAATGTCCTCGCCTGGGAACTATTTCTAGAAAGATGAGATCTTGATCTTTTGGGCATTTTAAAATGATTAAAAAAATTAAACTTCCTTAGTACTTAATAATTTGCTAACTGTTGAACAGGAATTACCAGTATCAATGTGATTGAAAAATTGTAAGAACTACTAAGTCAGTCACTAAACTGTTTGGATAGTTAAATTACAACATACTAACATTTTTAAACTTGCAATATCTAAGGAATGGAATGTCCGAATTTAATAATTCAAAAAGTTTTATAAAGATATTGAAACAGTCTTAAATATGAAGTAATTTATTTTTATAAGGATTAATACCAAGATACAAATAAACAGCCTTTGTTAGGGGCGGCATTTCAATCAAAATTTTAAAATAAAAGAACAATTATTGTGGCATAACTATAATAGTTAGACATATGCCGTCGCGACACTTTTGTAAATAATGATGTGATCTGTAAAGTCGTAGTACATTATTTTATTCTATCATCAATAGTTTTCGCAGCGCACGCGATGTAAAGAATATTCTGGGTAATTTTTGTACACCTTGAGTAACATTATTGGAGTTTTAGTAAGGATCCCAAATTTTTTGAAAATATAATATAGCCTATGTCAAGCAGAGATAATGTAGCTAATCAACAGTGAAAGAATTTTTCAAATCGGTTTAGTAGTTTCGGAGCCTATTCAATACATACAAACAATCAATCTTTCCTCTTTATGTAATAATATAGATAGATATTTGGCTTGGCACCGACTCCATAAATTGTTAAATTTTGTTAGTGAGTGAGTAGGTTAGGTTATATAGGTTACATTTTCAAGATTTGATTGTCTTATGTAAATGTAATTTAATGTTATTTTAAACTTTTTAATGGTTTTTGAAGTCGGTTCTTTTTTTTTTTTGATAAAGTTTTTTAGGTGTTTCACGTACACAAAACACACGCCAGTTTTGGTATAATTAATGCCATATTATATTCATTTACTTACCTCTTGTCCCAAGCAGGGATCGAAAGTTTGTAAAAATTTTAGAAATGAGGTTAAAATGTTAATTCTTAATAAAAATATCACAAATTCTTCCGCGTAACGCCCAGACTCTCGAACTGAGCTAAGTCCTAGCCAGGCGGCTGATGTGACAAAAAATGTTTCACTCTATTATAAGCATAGGCTCAGAACTTATGAGTACGCCTTTTAGTTTATATCGCATAACTTTAGCACCTTTGGGGGTTTTAATCAAATTTTCAATTAACTCCCTAAAAAAACGGATGCAATATTTGACATCATATTAAATGTCAACTGTCAAAATGTTTGAGACTCATACTTAGATACCATTTAATATAACCCTGCAAAGGCCAGGGTCGGCTTTCTAGACGATTTTATGTTACAAATGCGTATTAAAGCGGTCTACAGCGTTTCGTTTTATCGTCTAGGTTACATGCGGAGTAAATTGAAATGGTTTCAGCGTTGGCAAAACTTATAGGGCTTAAGAAATTTTTAGAGAAAAACTTTCGAATAAAATCGATATTGAATGACAATAATGACTGTTTGTTAGTAATTGGCACATGCCGGGATGACCACAAGTTTACGCGTTGCTATTTATATCTTTAATAGAAAATTGTTCAATGTATAACATGTTGCAGTTTTTGCTTGGTATGTCGTATGTTAATCCTATTAGGTAGTGGTGGTTTAGTTATATTTCCACCAGGTACTGAGCCGCGATTACTAATAGCACTTTCAATCATATTCATAAGTGATTAGAAACTGTAGTTGGTAATTTCCGCCAAGTCAAACTTGCTATTCGAGCATTAACTTTGATAACGAATTTGCCAGTACGACAATAACGTACTCATGCCTTTGAACGAATAACGTTATCATCTGTAATTTGCTTGAGTAGGGTCCGGTACATTTATGTACGAGTAGAATGTAAAGTTGTAGAGATTTAATTTGAGTAATTTTTGCGGCCTACGCACACAGAGAGGGTTGGGAAGGGACCCTTTTGTTGCTCTGGTCGCGCTTTTATGTCCGCGCGTAGATCCTTTTCAGGGTATTTCAATAAGAAATAATTTTTTACGAGTCCACGTTGTATTCCGCATGTTTAACGGGTTTTTTAAAACACCGCTGTATTACATTACATGAAATAAATGCTTATTAGTTTGAGCTAAATAAAACTCCGCTATTTCACGATGGTAGTGCCATGTAGGAACTTCTGCTGTTTCACGAAGGGCCAGGCTCCTCCGGGGAGAAGGGCTCTTAGAGAAGAGCGGTGTGATGTGTTAGTAGCGTGAGCCAATGCTTCATCACTGCCAGCTCACATTGTCTAGAGATCGGATTGTGAAACGAGCTTCAGTTTTTACCCACAAATTATAATCTGTCTTTAAGAGCCGTGATAGCTCAGTGTCCGGGCGCTCGCCTTTAATTCAAAATACTCGAGCAACCTGAGTTCGATCCCCGGTGCCGGCACCAATGAAGTTTATAACTTTATAACTTTTGCTGTCTTATCGCGTGCTCCGCGGTGAATAATAACAAAAAATATTTCGAAGATATATGAAGTCCGCCAATCCGCAGTGGGGCCGCGTGGTGGACTATGCCCTGATACCCTCTATATAGAGGAGGCCTTTGCCCAGCAGTGGGACATGTATAGGCTGTTACTTTACTTTACTTTTACTTTAAGAATTAATATCATTATAATGTTTGAACTATTGCTCCATTGCTTTATCCTTTTTAAGACATACTTTATATGTA